TTTACAATATGACTGGTGAACTGGTTTTGGAAGAAAAGTGGTTTCATTATACATTCTTATGGAGGCTCAGACCATGAAATCGGAATACTTTACAGGCACATTATTAACAAAAAACGAAAGGAATGAAAGTACAGGGCAAAATTTTAGTAAAAGGAGCAGCTCGTAGAGAGCTCCTAGTTTCATGTTTGAGTTGGTGACCTCCATAGAAACTACAGCTGCCGTGGCCAGGATTCGATAAGGTGGCCTTCGTGTCTGCAGTCGGGCAGCATAACCACTAGATAACCGTGGCAGGTAATTATGTGGCATCACATCTCAGTTATATGCCAGGACAGCTTAGTTAAACTTGGCAATTCAAAAAGACACTGCCTGCTGTGTCAGTCATTAAGCACCTAACTGATAAGCATTGAACGGCCTGGTTTTCCTCAAAACCCAAGACAAATATAAATGATTGCCCATAACTGAATTGGTCGCATTGTAACGACTAACGCATGAAATTGAGAAACCCATTTTTTTTACATTCTTTTTTGTTATTATTTTTTAAATAGTATTTCGTTTATCGCATCTCTACCTTTTGAGTGGATATGCCGTTTACTGCTTTCCAAAACATACGCGAACATTGCAGTAACTCACCGCCAGCGTAAACCCGCGCCTGCTAAGCGACCTTTCCTGTGTCACCAAAGAAGCATCGCCTTCTAAGGCATGATCTCAACGCGATTAATCGCTTTTACCTGCAATTTCATGACATCGCCGCACGCTGGCGCACCAACAAGGCCGGTGCCGACATTCTTGTCGTCCTTATTGAGGGATCCAACGTTGCGAGGATTCTCGTAGTGGTCAATAACCTGGTAACGAAAGAGAAGAAAATCGGCACGAGGCAGGAAACACTTTTTAAAGATAACGCGTGGAAATAGTTTCGCTAACCGCAGGAGCTGTTGCCAGGGCGAAATAAACAAAGAAATGCCCTTCGCTATATCTACTCGACACGCGCAGGCCTCTCGCTGTAGTGCACTACATTTTGCGGCCGGCACTGTCACCCCACGTAAAAGTCGGTCATTGCAATATCTGTCTGATCGCGTGTGCATACCACAGAAGCGAAGAAACGAACGAATTGGGTCGCAAATACGTGTCCGACGCTGATTAGCGGCCGGACAACTTGAAGGGCTTCGAGTTAGGCAAGGACAGTGCTTGGTTGTTCGAAATGATCAGCCCAGAGAATCGCGCAGGGTGTAATGCGCAGTACAGGAATGCATGCACGGGCACTGCGAGTACTTGCCTTCTCGTGGTAGCTCGCAGAGGTGACAGGGACGATGGACAATGTCTTCCTTGCCGGCGACAGAGACCTGTGCAGAGTCCGCATAAACATCACGCGACACAGTGTTCGAACGCCTTCGAAAGTCGAATTTTTTTCACGCTAACTTCGCCAATCACTTCTTCGCCCGACGACGACGCACCGTGTACAGATGCTCTGTGGCGCGCATGCGTGCGTCTTGATGATGATAAGTGTAACTTTGCTTTTGTTTCGTTTTCAAATTATTTTTTCTTCAACTAGCGCAAGCTTTATTCTATACATGCCTAGAAGCTGTAACTTATAAATTAATTTAAACGCTAGTAATTTTTGTGCGTATTTTTTTTAATTTTTTGTGTGTAAAAGTTTTTGTTTTGGAAGATAGGGCTCAATGAGTTTTTGTTGTAGATCTCAAAAGTAATGTTTTGTGCACAGCGAAGGAACTATTTACTCCAGAGGATAGCCTAATTAAATTTTAAATGATGGCTCTAACTACAATCTCTGAGGCTTGGTTACACCACACAGAGCCATAGAGTATGTCACAAAAAATATTTCACAAAATTCAGAGATTATTCATTTTTGCTTGCTTCATGCGAGACGTAAAGGCCGCCGTAATTGTGTAGAAAATCCACATTGGATCCAGCTCAAACCGAAGCCGATCCTAACAGCAGCCGGCGCGTCTCTTCCGATTGCGATTGTGTATCCTCTCTGGCAATCGCAGTTATTTTTACACGTAATCACGCGAAGCTTGATGGATTCGGCGACAGGCGATATTCCCAGTAAACACGAGAAAAAGCGCAGCTCGACGACCTGATCGAAAAGAAGAAGAGCGAGTATATGCGCCTCCTCCAAGAAAGCCAAGAACACGATCCAAAAAGCGCCGAGGACCTAAACCACAGGTGACCGGCTCCTAGCGGCTTCATTTTAATGAAATTGTCATGCGGGTGCGTAATATTCCACTGGAGTTCACTCCATTAATTCGCTGGCACTTCCAGGAAGTACGAGCTCGCGCTTGCATACAACGAGCGCGGTCAGGTGAACTACAGGATGATAGAATTCGACGAGGCCGTGGAGGATTACACGGAAGCCATACGTTCTGCGATTCCCTGGCGGCCGCCTACTTCAATCGTGGAACCGTCAAGTACAGGATGGGTAATACCAAAAGTGCTGCCTAGTTTGACTCTGATAACTTGCACATACGCCGACGCCATGTACGCAGCTTGATAGCATATGAAAACATAACACAATCGTCTGCGGATAAAAACGTTGTTGACATCAATAAATTCGCTCCTTTGTGAGTGTACGTGGACTTATATTACAGTAGTGTTGCATACACAGCCGATATATATATATATATTATATATATATATATATATATATATTATATATATATATAAGGGAAAGAAGTGTGTACCTAAGGGCTCGTTTTCCCGTGTTTTAACACAACAGTAAGGCCAAGGAATGTACAGGGGAAGTTATTAGAATCAATGGAATGTAAATAAGAAGAAAGAAAAGTGGATGAAAAAATAACCAGCCGTGAGCAGGAATCGAACCTACAACCTTCGAATCGGTTAGAGCATCGAACGCGTTATTCGAAGGTCGTAGGTTCGATTCCTGCTCACGGCTGGTTATTTTTTCATCCACTTTTCTTCTTATTTACATTCCATTGATTCTAATAACTTCCCCTGTACATTCCTTTATATATATATGTGTGTGTGTGTGTGTGTGTGTGTTGTGTGTGTGTGTGTGTGTGTGTGTGTGTGTGTGTGTGTGTGTGTGTGTGTGCGTGCGTGCATGTGTGCTGATTGGTAAAGATAACTAGTCCACATTCAGCACGTTTTCCTTATTTCATGTGCTTTATTCACAGGTTGTTTCGACGTTGCTTTGGGCGACATGGAGAAGGCTGTTTCGCTTGATCCGACCAACAAGGAATTTCAACTGGGTCTAAAAGAAACCAAAGCACAGCTTCAAGCTAAACTGTAGCAAAGACCACAAAAACTCTCCCACATGCTCAGTGACAGTTGAAGACTAGTCATCAGTACCATGATCGAACAGCACAGTCGAAGGGACCAACGCGACAATAGTCGGACCTGAGAGTTTTTATTTTTCTGAGTGGTAACATTCATGATGTATAAACATTGTGCCTGTTGTCTCACCACATGATCCGCAAACTGTGTGGTGAAGATACAGTACAAAACATCTTACTTGACCACTTAACACTCTTGGCGTAAACTGAAAAGTGCATTACCTATAAGGAGCTTGTACGATACATTGTGGATATGTGCACTTTGGCATTGTTGTACAATTGCTTGTATATCTCGTACAGTTGCTTTACAGATCTCGCATCAACAACAAAGTAAAGGGGCTCTAATTGTGTGATGACAGTCTGCAAAGAAGAACAATAGTAGTTTCAGAGATGGTGACAGTGTCAATTGAGTGAGCTGCAGAATCTCAAGTTTTTACAGCAAAAATAAAGGAGGTCTTCTGCAGGCTTACAGCTGCACTATCCCATTTTTACTGTAACCTACGAACTGTTGAATGGAAAATAATTATGTTACATAAATTGAATGTGGCCAGCCTTTTTCATCAAAACATTAGCAAATCGTAAGATATAGCTGTTTAATTCCTACCTGTGTTGTGTGTATGGCAATTTGCAGACTGTATGAGAAAGGCCAACACATGCAAAAAGCATGGGACCGACCCCATTTCCATTCTCATATAGAGGCATGCACTCATATTTAACCATGTTCTAAATGGTATGGCGGCAGGTCAGTGTTGCACGTCTTTCCAAAACATGTTATGGAAATGTAAGTGGGACAGAGTGGTAATCATGACAGATATGTCAAACACCACCACATGCACCACTTCATATATAAACCACTAAGTACGACTGTATTTGTGATGCTCTAGCCCTTGCTTTCTGTCATGAAAATGTTACACGTGGCAGTGCATAAGAGGAAAGGTAATGGCAACAATGATTGGACAGCTTCTAACCAAATCTGCGCCCTGGTACCCATCACTTATGTTGATTGCGTACTGTGGTCTGCATATGCTCACAGCATCGATGAGCATTTTTGGGCACTCACTATTTTACCACTTTGTCTGACCATGTAACATGATTGCAAGTGCCTTCCACTCTACTGTCTCTGATTGATTTGTGGGGTTTAACGTTCCAAAACCACCATTTCATTATGAGAGACGCCGTAGTGGAGGGCTCCGGAAATTTTGACCACCTGGGGTTCTTTAACGTGCACCCAAATCTGAGTACACGGGCTTACAACATTTCCGCCTCCATCGGAAATGCACACTCTACTGTCTCTGCTTGTTTCTTCAATCAGATGTAGTGCCTCCCTATATTGAGGCTAGTATTTATCAGGATGTCTGTGTAAGTTTGGGAGACAACTGACATTCATAATGCACACATAATTTGATATCCTTAGAACTGCCAATGTATGAGCAACAAGAGAATGCACAACGTTGTTATTTAGTTTGAAAGCCCTTTTACCCACATTTTTTATAGGAGTGCACTATGGCACAACACTGTCCGTTTTTTACAGACCTCGTGGGAGAGGGTCCTTTTTTCAAGCCTGGCTACTCACAGGATAGATTGATGTGGTGCGCCAGGGCAGTATGGCTGAGCAGAGGATATTGGCAGAATTAATGATCAGGTTGCACAATCAGTGCTAGAAGTTTCCGTGCAAAAGTTCTATGCAACACAAAATGTAAAGGCACGTAACATTGCACAGCAGGAAAGGAGAAAAAGTTAAACATGCACAATCACATCTCTATCTGAGTCATTGGCTGGCAGGATGCATCCGGGATGTAGAGCGAAAGTCCCAAAGTCTTGTTCGAGGGCGTAGATGGACGACGGTCGTTTGAAAGCGGCCCCTCATAATGACTTTCAGACAAGCTATGCTTCTCTGCTTCGCCGCTTGGTGAGCAATGGCACTGAACGGGACTGACAACTATGAAGCGGGCACCATCTGGTGTCTCCATTTTTCTATCCTCCTGTAGATCCTCTTCTCTGGAGCATTCAATCTGAATGCAAAGAGAACAGCACAAGGTAGCAACAGGGTATTCTGACAAGAGTTTGCTAAGTAGGAATGTTGTAATTATTTTGTAAAATAAGCGTAAGACGATGGCACAAGACAAAACACAAGGACAGACTAGCACCAACTTCAACGAAAAGTTTATTCTCACAAATCCATGCCTATTATCAACCTACTCAGATTGATCACTTAAAATACATCATCATGCAAAAGTGCTTTGTCTCAACCCCAAAAGGATGCCAAGCACACATCATCACACAAACACACTTTACTGTGCCCTCAAAACCAAAATTTGACAAGAAGGATGTGATGCGCTAAAACACGCTAAACTCCGAAAGCTTGAGATTATATGAAGCATGCTCACATTCATGCATTTAGCATGAAGACATAAAAGGTTTTAGGGTATTTGCGAGAAAGCCCAATTACTTTTCTTGAGTTATTTTCTTGCATTTCTTGATAAACTATGAATGCCTACAAACTTGCACAAATTTTAGTTCTTGTAAATTGTAAATATACCAAATGGTAAATTACGCTTCTGTCTGTGACACACAATGATGAGAATCAGAAATTGATCGGAGAGAGTTGCATAGCATTTTAAGTGGTGAATGTCACCGACACTGGCCGTTACAGGTACAAGGAATACGGGACGCAGGTGGTGAATCACTTCTAGTTTGACCCCAGCCCCATCTTGGTTCTTCTGCACACTAAACTATGCGTTCTGGTGCTGCTGTTGCACGTGAAAAACTCCATTGCGCGGTGCCTTTGAGACGAGTGCCAGAAGCCTCGTAGCGATGCTGCCCTGACGTTTCTGCACTAATTCATTGTAATGTCGCCAATATTGAAAGCATTTCTTTTTTTCAATTTCAGGATATTTTCACGTTCGTCATCCTGTGAGCTGTGATACAAAATAACGCTGTTGCATGATTGGAATGACTCAAAGTCTCTTTTGTACTGAAAATCCTGCAGAAACACTAAGGAAGAGAATTTTGAGGGATCATAATTCTTTGCCACAATGTTATTTAAAGCCAGGTGATAATGAAGCCCAAGGGAGCTTATATGGGGCACCACACTTGTTACAATGATGCCTTTTTTGGCTCCATTGTCGATTTTCATTAATACAGAGACTTGTAGTATGTACCGTACAAAAGAAAAAAAGGATGGGACTTTTTTTTTCTTCCTCTCTGAAAAGCTGTGCTAACACCATTGCAAGTTGCAGTGTGAAATAAAAAGTTATTCTTCACCTTTCCATCTTCCTGCTCGTGCTCGAAACTGGCTATTTTGTTGCCGTTTGTGTCGCCTTCATCTTCAGGTATGGTGTCTTCTTTTGCGCGTGCCTTGGCCCTGTTCAAAAGAAAAAATTACTTAACTGCCTAATCACTCTTGCTAAAGTAAGTTGCACTTGAGCAATTCTAATGATCAAGTGAGCGAGCTGTGAAGGACCACTATTCTGAGTAAGTTGATTTTGCAGCCGATCATCAGTACATTAGAACGTTGCTGGAACGGTCAGTCACGTTGCTGACATGTTGTATTGTATGAACTGATCAGTCAAGTCATGATTATTCAAAACAAAAAGATTATGTCCATCTTGCCAGGTTCCAATCGTGGTCGTTAATTTAGTTTAACGAATCAGATTTTCTGTCATTCTACTTGGGTGCACATTCTTGAGGTGTAGGTTACTTACTGAGCACAGTTTACTGTTCTTGTAAGTAGGGCAAATATTTGTGTTTGTAAAAGCAGACAAAGAAGAAGCACAGGAGGGAAGTCATAACGTACTGTGTTAGTCAGCCTTCAACAGTTCACCAAGATAGCAACAAAAAAAATCAAGACTATACAAATTGTTATGTCAGCAATAAAAGCAATTGCTTTGTGTGGCTTAATTTAATGATGAGTCACAATCATGAGCTCTCCATTTGCGGTTAGCGCTCGCGTTGTATCCACAGTATATTCATCTGTCTCTGTTATAATCACGCAGTTCGCTTATAGTCGCCATTAATCAATAACAACTGTCTCAGTTCTTAATCCTACTCAAGACCGGGGAGGGGTTTTCATAAAACACATCGGAAGAGGCTGACGGAGAAGTGAACGAACATGAGAACTGCGCAAATATGGTAGGCAGCGCGCATATAAATGCCCAGAGGTGACAACGCAAGTTTAAATACATCGACAAACATTGCAGTGTAACTAGCACAAGTGACTCGTGAAGAGCCTGTAAAGCTAGTTTCTCCTCAAGTTGACCTTTGTTGCGCAGAAGCCAGATTTAAGGAACGTATTTCCGCGTGGCGCGTTCGCACCGACGGTGCCGCAATACACGTCGGGATGGACGAGAACAGAGAGAGACGTACTTTTCAGCATCTCTGAAAAGTGCGGCAGAGCCCGACCGACTGGAAAATATAAAAGGCAGTACCCACCTGAGCTCCCTGGCCTTCTGTACCCTGGCGAGGCGCTGCTCCTTCTCCCTCTCTTCCTGTTCGCGCTGTAGCGCCGTGTCCCGCTCCACCCTGTCGCTGAGCTCATCCCAGTTGCGGCCGATGTGTCCCAGGAGCCACTGGAAGCCCTTGTCGATGCCCGGGTCCCGCTTGCGCTTCCGGCCGCCGAATCTGATGGCGCAGCAGTTCTCCTGCACAGCCCAGGAAGGAGCAACGTCAGGAGTCGGGCTCATCGGTTCTGCGTTGTCCGACGTTTAAGGGGACTGCTGCTTGAACCAGGACGGAACTATAGTGAACTGCTGAAAGAATAGCTGTCTTTAACACGGAATATGTATTGACAATGAAGGATATGATATGATGATGTAGGGTTTAGCGTCCCAAAACCACCATTATGAGAGACGCCGTAGTGGAGGGCTCCGTAAATTTCGACTCCCTGGGGTTCTTTAACGCGCACCCAAGTATGAGCACATGGGCCTACAGCATTTTCGCCTCAATCGATAATGCAGCCGCCACAGCCGGGATTCGATCCCGTGACCTGCGGGTCATCAGCTGAGTACCTGAGCCACTAGACCACGGCGGCGGGGCTACAGTGGAATGACAACAAACAACAAATAATTAAGCTATATATAAGCAGCGTAGGCAAAAGTATACGCGTGCGCACGGGTGTAGGGGGAGTGGGAGACAAGGAGGCGCCTCTACCCCCCCCCCCCCCCGTAGTCAACTGAGAGGGGCCAAAATCTGCCCTATACACTGACTTAATAGATGGTTTTTAAGACTGCAAGCGTTGTACCCCAAAAAACTTCCGGTCACCTCATTTACCAGCTCCCAACTTCGAACTAAAAGCACATTTTCAAGTTTCTTTCAAGCATCAGAAAAGTATCTTTTTAATTTTTCAGATGAAATAAACGTGCGTAAAGTTAAAGGTAATCTCTTACATTTTTTATGTGGCTCAAATACACATTCATTTCAATATATTTTGTCGAATAAAGGAAGGAAAGTGTAGAAAATCAGCAGGCTGTTTTCTAAAGCTCTTCCAAACCGGATGACATCAAGGGCCCGTGTTTGTAAACAGCGAAAGGGTATTGGGAGGAGCTGCAAAAAACATTCGCCCCCCCCTCCCCCCCGAAGGAGAACCATGCGCACATCTATGGGCAAAAGTGCCAATAAAAAAATACTTTCTGTCCCATATAGTTGTATTTCCCGTGCCTGTGATCACCCCAAAAAAATAGCGGAAAGCGGAGGCCTTCGTCTCGAAGTGAGTGCCCACACCACCGAGCGCCAGATCCCTGCAGTACGTTGCATCCACGAGTCACATACGTTGATGAAAAGAAAACAAAGCCAATCTCGATGTGACCTACACCGCGACAAGCAACGTTCAAAGCACGCACGTCAGCCCAATATGATGATCCGCCTTTTTGTCGGCACTTTTCTATGCACAAGGTCGTTCTCTGCTGTCCTGCTCCCGTTGACGAAAGCCGGAATTAAATTACTTCTGAGGAATTTTTTTCTCTTTTTTTTCCTTTTTAGGTGAAGGTGTGATGTCCATCACAAGAGAAAAGACGTGCGAGCAATCGCGCTCGCGTTCCTTAATTAGTGGAGAATGCTACACGAACAATAGATCAACGTTAGACGTGAAGTTCAAGGGGACATACCACTCTGGTGGGGCATCTGTGCTGGTTGACCACGTTCTCTAGGTCTAGCAGTGAGCACATCTCCATTTCGTCGACGGCCGTTTCGAGGTCCTGCTTGTTGAGTAGTCTGCAGGTACATTAAAAAAAAAACGGTTACACGCAGGGCTGTAACAAGAGGGTGTCGAAATGAGAAATCTGACCCCCCCCCCCCCCCCCCCCCGCCCATAGACACTTTTTTCATACTTGAACTGTATTCGTACGCCCTCACATGCATCGACCACCAGTTGCCAAAGTTTAAAGTTAGCCGTTCTGTACACATCCACCCCCCAAGCAAAAATTACAGAATATGACAATGGTTTCGTAAGTTATCTGGTTGACCTAATCGTATCCGCAGATTTCCCATTTTGAGAAGAATCGCATTCACCAGAGCGCCCTTGGCGTCAATAATGGACTTGAATAACTACGTACTGGTACGGACGGGTAATTGAATAAACTGAGATATACTATAGTAGTGGTGACCATTCATCGTATGCGGATAAAGGAATTCGGCGGGCTTGAAAACATTCATGCGTTCATTTCTGTTTTTATAAGGCCCTGACCGAAGCTGAGATCAAAGTAAATAGATTTCATTTACTTATATTGAACTTAATAAGCATATATGATATCCGTCTCTGGAACAACCTACCGGATAACATTACTTCGCTGAGAAACCATGACGTTTTATTTATTTTTTTTTTTTTGAAAGCCGTACCGAGGAAGCTTTTTCGGGGGGTATTTTTGTGAACAACTAACTTTGGCAACTGCTGGTCGATGTGAAGGCGCCAAAATAATTTAGTATCCCCCGAAATGGCAGAGCATTACAAAATTTCGTGGGTTGTCAGAACCCCCTCAACGACCTTGCTCTAGTTATAACCCTGTGGTTTTTACAAACAATTTTTATGCAGCGCGCTTTGTTTCTTTTTTTTTTTCGTGTGTGTGTAATCTAGTGCGAGGTGTTTTCCAATCAGGTTACGTTTGCTTCTTAATTCATTGCGATGTCGTGAGCTTGTGTTTATATTTTAATATAATGTTTAACGACGCAATTATATTATATCCTGACTGTGGTACAAATTTTCCTGTACGCTAGTTAATACTTACTGCCACGCTATGCAGCATTTTATTGTGTTTTATTTATTTATTCGTTAATTTCTTTTTCACTTGTTTTCATAGCATCTGTATAGTTCGGTAACTTGGAATTTTCGTGAGTGTGAGAATTTCGGAATACGCGCACGCACACAATCTATAATGTATTGAGTTGCAGTTCATGCCCCCCTCGCCCTATGCCTCCTCGGGGACCTGTGAGGTATTTCGTTCGCTTTAAGAGGTAATTCGCTATATTAGGGTGGTTTACAACCAGGTTCAACTGTACACTCACACTAGCAAAGGTTTCCCGCCGATCCGAGGGTCGGCCAGCACCTGTGCTACGGTGCTGCGGCACTCCGGCGCCCTGTGCGTCGCCGATGCGTCCACCACGAGTACCAAGCCGTGGGCGAGTGCGTAGTAGCACTCCCAGATGGCGCGGATCTTCGCACCGCCTCCCAGGTCGCAAATGGTCACGTGGGAACCGCAGCGCTCAGTCTCGACGCTCGAGAAGCCCACCGTGGGAACCACGTCCTCAGGATTGGCATCTGCGCCACGGCATATATAATCGACTGATATGAACCAAGTGATGGTGTTTGACGTGCTGAATGACATCTGGAGAATCATAATTCGAACCACATCGGGATAGTAAAGGTGAAAAAAAATGTATTAATCATCTGTTTTCGGGCCTGAACCCTACAGGAAGCGAACTTCCGACAAGCAGCGAAAACCAAGCGCAGCCATTGAGACACCACTGCGGTAAGATAATCTGTTTGCACTCTTTGCATGGTTACCCGCCACGGTGGTCTAGTGGCTAAGGGACTCAGCTACTACGGTGCTCTAGTGGCTAAGGGGCTCCCGACTGTGGCTGCCGCATTTTATATGGAGTTGAAAATGCTTTAGGGTCGTGTGCATATATTTCCGGAGCCCTCCATTACGGCGTCTCTCATGATTATATGGTGGGATTTGTGACGTTGAACCCCTACAATTATTATTACACGCTTTGGTTTGAAAACAGTATGATGCAAAAATTCATTTAGAACTAATGGCGCTGTATGTATCTTCTGTCGACCACTTACACGTAATAGCGGCACGTACATTCAGGCAGAGTACTGCGAAGTAACCCGTTCAAACTAACCGCAACTACGAATAATCCATCATCGGGGAATTCATGTATTGTCTAAAAATGTCGGGAACAAGGTCACAAAAGAAAACAAAATATCGGAAATGTGTTGAGAAATCGCCAAATAAAGTTTATCGTGTTAGAGAGAGATATAGGTTTATTTACAAAAAAAACAGAGAGGTCAGCCTGAGCGATAGCTTGCTCTAGCCTGCTACTCTACACTGGGGGAAGGGAAAGGGGAGAAGAAAGACTAATAGATGACGATGGTGAGATAGATAGGTGAGTTTGTAAAATTCTTTCTAGCTGGTTCGCATGACCGAAGAGGCCCAAAACGTTGGAGCAGGAGCAGATAATACACGCTATGCGACGAGAGTCTGAACTCTCGCGCCTAAATGATTTTCAACGATGAAGCGTATCTGGTTAGATCGAAATATTTAGAAGCCTAGCTAGGTAACTCAAAAAGTAACTAAACAGTATTGTTTTAATGCGTTAAGTATGAAATTAAGTGAAGAGGCAAATCATATACCACATGACACGTGCCTCTCAACAGGTGCTTCGTTGTCGATGTCTTTCCAGCGTTGTCAAGACCAATCATGAGAAGTGTGATGTGCCTGGAAAATACAAAAGATACGACGCCGCCTATCTTTTCGGGCACTGATAAACAACCAAAGAGAACTGTCGTGTATACTGTATTTGTTCGGTATGATACTCCAACACCCTGCCAGAAAAATGTTTAGCACGATTCACGTCAGCTAAGGTAAAGCGCGCGCACATGTTACCAACGTTGCACGTAATTCGCTACACATAATAAACTGTTGCAAGGCGCGTGACACAATGGCAAGATTTCCGCAAGTCAGAGGTAGTTTGCAAATGGAGGGTTTCGAAACATCACCTTTTGGACTTTCTAGAAGGACATGCCCCCATGTCACTCCGGACTTTTCTTTGAAAAGGAGCAACTGAAGAGAAACACCCGTTACCACGGAAACTCAAAAACACGAACACATGTTCCGAAACCGAAACTGCTCTCACTTTAACAAAAATAGATAATAATAGATACAAATTAATCATTTACACCACTACAACGTAACTTTACGTGTATTGAAAGCAAAAAAAGCAATAAACTATCAATGAAAGAATAGTAGTGCTGACACGCAATGCGGAATAAAACGCGTCACAAACGGGCAACCTTGTTCATTGCTTTGTTTGTTCTTTTGTGAAATCGCACGTCGCCCGTACGAATTCAGTAGTTGTGCGGTTGGGCTGTCTAAAAACGCTGCAAAATCAGCGATCTTGGTCTGTTCGTGTTTGAGAAACGCCGTAATAAAGTGGTACCTGTCCCCGTCCTCATATCTGCCCCATCGTAGACGCTAGAACCGGGATGGCGTCCTCCATGAGACTCCTGGTGTGCGGCGATGTCGGCGGTCAGTTTGACAAACTTTTTGACCGCGTGTCGAGGGTCAATGAGAAGCACGGGCCTTTTGACATGCTGCTTTGCGTCGGCGACTTCTTCGGGCCCGACACTTCGCTATGGCTTCAATACAAGCTCAGCGGCCGCAAGGTCCCCCTGCAGACATACGCCGTTGGCATCACGCCCGAGTCGTATTCAGACTCGGACCTCGCGGACAACGTCGTCCACTTGGGTTCCCGTGGAATATTTACCGGTGCTTCGGGACTCAAGATTGCCTACTTTTGCGGAAACGAGAGTAAAGATGGCAAACCTTCCAGGGGCGAGTTTGTCAAGAAGGAAGCGGTCGAATTCTTGACCCCGATCGTCGAAAGTACAAGCCACAAGGGCATAGACCTGTTCATCACATCCCAGTGGCCGAAGAACGTGAGCAAATACGCTCACACCGCGTCCGCTGAAGAAGAAAATGGTTCGGACGTCATATCTCTACTCGCCTTCTTTCTCCGGCCTAGATGCCACTTCACGTCATCCGGAGACACATACTACGAGAGGACTCCGTACAGGAACCACAAGGTGCTCCAGGAGCAAGCTCGCCACGTTACGCGATTCATATCACTGGCCTCCGTCGGCAACGCGACCAAGGCCAAGTGGCTTTACGCCTTCTCGATGGATCCCATGTCGAGCATTACGAATGCGGAGCTCGTGAAGCAGCCCACCGACGTGACCGAATGTCCGTACGAGTTCAGCGAGTCGGACCTCAAGGACGCGTCATCCAAGTCGCAGCAGTTCTTCTACGACCTCACGCCGGCCGCGGAAAAGGGCAAGAAACGAAACCGCGATTCCGGAGACAGGCAAGAGCGCAAGAAGCGACCCCCTCCAGCCCCCAAGGGACCCTGCTGGTTTTGCCTGGCCAGTCCCGAAGTGGAGAAACACCTGGTCATCAGCATCGGCGAAAGCTGTTACCTGCGCTGGCCAAAGGAGCGCTCACTCCGGATCACGTGCTCATACTGCCCATCGGTCACCATCAGAGTACGGTCGAATTGGACGAGGAGACACTGGAAGATGTCGTGAAGTTCAAGGAAAGCTTGAAGCAGTACTTCAAATCAAAGAATAAGCGACCTGTCTTTTTCGAAAGGAACTATAAGAGCTCCCACCTGCAGATCCAGGTCGTGCCTGTGCCCGAGCCGTTGATGTTAGGTCTCCAGTCCGTGCTAGTGGACTACGGCATGTCGCTCGGTGTAGACTTAGACGAAATACCCCGAAACTCGAGCCTTCGCCAGATTGTGGACCCCGGGCGGCCCTACTTCTACATGGAGTTTGATAACACCAAGTTGCTGCATAGGATTAAGAAGAACTTTCCTCTCCAGTTCGGCAGGGAAGTGCTGGCTTGTGAAGAAGTTCTTAATCTGCCGGACAAAGCAGACTGGAAAGACTGCAAAATGTCTAGAGATGAGGAAGTGGCGATGGTGGCTGAATTTCGAAAACAGTTTGAGCCCTTTGACTTTACGTTGTGATGCATTGTATGCGTTGTAAATAGACAAGATAACATTGGTGGCTTATCATGTGGGCTCATTTCTATATTTAGCTTTGGAGATGTAGTAAAGCTCATGTCATTATACCCATAGCATAGAAAGGAACACATGAATGTTACACGTTACCTGAAAACGAATTTCCAGGTGAAAATTTGTGTGGCAAATGACAAGAAAGAGGTAAAAACAGCCTGACCAGCTGTGCGATGTGCTAATTCCAAACATCATTATTGTCACTATCTTTGTCTGTAGCCCTACTACTAGTCTCTTTGTCTGCACATTAACAAAGAAAGCAAAACTGCCAACAACATAAAAATGTTCACCTCAATAATATTCAAAAAATGTGCATCTATTTTATTCTCATTATGTGTATAATAACAGTAACATGAACTTAGAAAATTGTCTTAATTTTTTTTATTTGTTTTGAACTATGAAGCTTCACGTGAGCAAATACCACATCAGTCACTCAAGAAGGCTTAACACAAGGCAAACATTAAGCTACACTTAAATTTTGAGAAGGATGCACGCTAAAATTAATAAAAATAAAGATAAACTATTAACAATATTTAGAAGTTAATGACTTCATACTTTCTCTTCAGACCTAGGAAATTAAAGAACATAAAAATATATCTCATTTGGACTAATGCATTTTATGGTTGCATTTGAGCACAATGGACTACTGTCATCATCCTAAGAGCACAACATGAAAAAAGGGCACACTCTAAAGCCTCATTCCATCCTTCAAAAAAGGCCGCATTATGTTTCAGCAGTAAACTATGCATTATATACTGTGTATGGGTCAAATGACCATTTTTTCAGGCAGCTGGCTTCTATTTTACATTTGTTTAACAACTGGGCAATGGTATTTCAATTAATTTACTGTCAAGATATCAGCGTGACTGCTTAAATGTGAATTTAGCACAGCTGGTGTTCGTAGTAGTGATGCAAAAAATATGTGCATGGCATATGAACCTAACTGCAAGGTCTGACATCGCTATATGGATTAGGCTAAAATTAATGCTGTTGCTTTGTAGCGCATGCGCATATTTGCAGCAAGTAGTTAAGGAGAGTGAAGTATAAATGCTCGTGCACATAGGTTTTTTGTCTTATTCTTCAGAGACAACCATATTATCTTACCTCTTAAATGAGCTGGTCATTCTTACACTCCTGCATCATCTGAACGAATCTTTTAATCTAGGGGGGCTGAAGATCCCCTGATTATTGTCTGTCCCACCCCCCTCCCCCCCCCCCCCCCCTGGGAAAAATTCTGGCGCCGTCCTTGCTGATATGCTGAAAAGTTTGAGCGACTGCTTGTGAGCAATGTGGTGCATGTGAGGCCATAAGTATACCAAGGCGCAAAAGCATGGTCCCAAAGGTACTTGTCGTTTTTGTGTCTCCGGACTCCTACTCTGATCTCTCGCTGCAAACCGCTGACACATCCTTTCGCCCTCGTGTAAATTTTTTAAAAAAACGCGCCAATCTTATTGATGTTGTGACGCCCTCTTCCGGCAGCGGGAAGGCATGGGAGATAGAAAGGGCATGTTCCTTCTCGCGCGCGGGATTGGCAAGTTGGCAGGAGAGCAGTAGCGAACCGGTAGAGTAGCAAACAGGAAGGATGGCAAGCTGCTGGAGGTGGTTCTTGGTCGCATTAACGATCGGTCCACAACTGATCACCTGCGCCGAGGAAGCGTGTCGTTCTTACGGCGGCGGCCAAGTTTACCCGCAAGAGAACACGAAATCTTCGGCGCATAACCTCCACTGGAGCAAAACCCAAGTGAGTATACGTGACGTGTTAGATGCCGGCATCAGCGTTCGAAAAACGTGCGCGTGCTCTTCGCGGCACGCTGCGATCTCACGTAAGACTGCACGTTTCAGACCACGTCATGTTCTTATTAGAATGCTCAATAATGCACCAACAAGCGCCCACGTCGTTGCAAGTATGTAGTACACGTAGTCGGCAAGGTTTGTAGCAGTGCTCGGGTGCTCGTGCGAAGCCGCTGATGTTGCAAGCATTTATCAGCGCTTGCGTGTTCATTTCGAGATGTGCATTGGTGGATGACGTAAAAGCAACCTAATTTCGTTATCTTTTATTGCAGTTTCTAAGCCGGCTCCTTACTTCTCCGGAACCGCCGTGGTTAATGGAGAGTTCAAAGAGCTCAAACTCTCGGACTACAAGGGAAAGTACCTGGTGTTTTTCTTCTATCCGCTGGACTTGTAAGTAAATAATATGCAAACTGAACTGCGGCGACTTTGCCTCATTGAAGTGATCCGATGCCAAATGATGCTGTGGGTCGTTTCTCGTTGCAGCACGTTTGTTTGTCCTACGGAGATCATTGCATTCAGTGATCGCGTCCAGGAATTCAAGGCGCTGAACGCGGAAGTAGTGGCGTGTTCTGTTGACTCGCCCTTCACCCATCTTGCATGGTAAGTGCCGTGTTATTCGTCACTTGTCTCGAGATTCTGGAAATCGTGCCCCAAGTTTGTGGTTTGACGAATAAAATGTACTTCGCATTGTTCATTGTTGTGACGTGTGGCGACGTTCTCGGATGTTCTCTACAACAAGAACACCGATGTGGCTTTTCTTTTTGTGATTTTCAGCCTTGTTTACTTGGCAAATATCTTGAACGTGATTTTGGCATAGTTTAGATTTTTATGTGTGTCTGTGTTGTTATTCTTGAAGAAATTGGTGGTATGGGGAAATAGAATACGGACGACTGGATTGGCGACACATGAAATATATTCTCTCGTGCCTTTTATAGGATCAACACCCAAGGAAACAAGGTGGCCTCGGACCTATCAAGATCCCACTGCTCTCTGATCTCACTCACCAGATCTCAAAGGACTACGGTGTCTACCTAGAGGACCTCGGGCACACATTGAGGTCAGTGTACATGCTACTAAGTGTTGTGCATATTTTGTGCGACAGCGTTTGATATTAACGGTGCATTTAAAATTTTACAGGGGTCTGTTCATCATTGATGACAAGGGCAACCTTCGCCAGATCACCATGAACGACATGCCAGTGGGTCGATCTGTGGACGAGACACTACGATTGGTGCAGGCTTTCCAGTACACCGACAAGCACGGAGAAGTCTGTCCTGCAGGGTGGAAGCCTGGCGGAGATACGGTACGGAAACTTGGGTGTGGCTCGTTAAGTGTGAATAAATCAGTGCCTTAATTATCAAGAAGAATGAAGACGGGTTCCTTTTACCACTGACAACCCTCAGTAGTAAAAGGAACCTGAGGTTCTTATTCAAATAAAGAGCTGAGTGACAGATTATTTTGGCTAACTGTCGCTGCAACATGCAGTGGATGTAGAGAAGCCTAAATGACTGGCATTTTTGCCAACCTGTGCAAGTATTAAAATTCGTGAAATCGCTTTGGAATGCTTGCGGGGAATTATTTCAAGTTTGCCTAGCACCACCTTGATGGAATACATTTGCAGGTCAGTAACAGCAATTCCCAGTCAGGTTAAACTCGGAGGCAGCGGCTAATGGGAAAGCAACATAACTTTTCAAGATTACAATGGCTCTGTTGTCAATAAAGTTCGTCGGGCTGGCACTCCTCCGATGTTCTTTCATAATCAGAAGCCATTCAAGGTACCTAGGCGACTGAAAAGCTATTTGAAGGTTGTGAGAAGTTTCTCCACCTTTCTTATAAAGTTTGATGAAATTTTAGTAAATTTCTAACTTGAACCCAAATTCATAAATATGACAGGAAATTTTAAATATCTGAACATATGAATGTGACAATATGTATGATCGAGTATTTTGGCTTAAAGCATGTTGTTCTGGTTATCATACAGTATCATATAACGTATATGTCATAATAGCTCCACATTTTCGGAATCTTTCTTGAAATTCGGAGAGTGCTTTTTGAAGTTTATTTCCTGTCGCAAATTTGGCATTTGTTAAAGTTTGCGTTTTGGAAATCTCTAATGCTCCGAAATTCGGAGTTCAATCTTGCTTTATTCTGAATGTTGTAATATGAAGCATATTTTAGTTGTTAGGCTTGAATGCAAGAACAAATGCACGCAGCACAAATACTTGAGTTCAAAGCACCTACGTTTGAGCATACTACCAGAACCTTAAACCTTCTTCTAGCAGACTTGAGAAAACTCTACAAGGTCCGCATATTTTATGTGGTCTGGCACCCCAGTGCAGAGAGTGGACCGTATATGTAGTTGCACTTTCGGGGGTCCTGGTCTCTCGCTCTGTGCTGATATGTAAGATACTGATGACTTGGGTAAATGGGCATGGCATGCAGTGCTTCGGCAAGATAATGTCTAGTGATTAAGGGCATCTGACTAGATTGCAAGAGTAGGCAAACGCACAAGGGGGAGACAGAAAGTTAGGCGGGCAGATAAGATCAAGAAGTGCGAGTGTTTCTTGGCAGCAGCAAACACAGGGCCGGTTGATTAGTGGAACAGGGGAGAGGCCTTTGCCCTGTAGTGGGCGTAGTCGGGCCGAAGTACCATTGACCGCTTAGAACATATCTTACTATAAACAGGAGAAGAGGGTCATTTGGCATTACAATTAGAGTTAAACAATTGGTGAAAAGTTCACTGGCAAGTGTTGATTGCATTTTTTTATTTATTCAAAACGAAAAGCCCTAATTATACATCACACAGCAGCTTATAATGAATGCATTGTGTCAGTTTTGTATACTTGTTGCTTATGGCATTTGAAGTGCTAATGCAGAACATGTGATATTATTATGATCGAATGCCAGTTCATTGTTTTAAATGTAACATCCAGTTTCGAGCTTACGCAGTGAAGTGAGCGTCAATATTATGAAGGGCATTACTGGTGTATACAGCCTGGAATTGTTTCTAGTTTGAAGGAACTGTGCACATTTTTCTCCTTCTCTCTTACAGATCATCCCTACTCCATCGGAGAAACTGAAGTACTTCAGCAGGCGTTGATCCGGAGTAACTTCCTTTCAAGACAAGCAACCGGCTACTTTTTCACAATATGTCCCATCATTATATAAAAATGACAGATGATGCACCTGCATAGCACCAAAACTCAATTTGTTCCGTGACATTTTTTTGTCCTACAACATTATTCTGCTGGTCAACATACATAGATACCTAGTCTGTTTTCTGTCACACTTCATATTTTTCCATCAAGAGAGTTTTTCAATAAAAAGTACCTTGTGCCAGTGTTGTGAAATGCACCTCCTACAGCAATTGAAGGCAGTCATATGCAGAATGTCAAAGCTTTGACAGTAGCATAAAATTGACAGCTCCTAATGCAGCCTGAAAACACGCTTCTAAAAGCAAAAACGCCATTCGCCGCTGCTTTTAACTGAAAATGATGTTATCGCCAGCTGTGCGGCCTTCACGGCAGCTGCATAGCGCTTGTACAGATGTGAACGTGGTGACAAAACTTCACAGGATGTGGGCGATACAGTGAACCTGGATTCCACTCGGTTAATTCGTAACACTTCCGACGTGATGGATACCATGTAGGTAGGGGAAAAAATGCTACAGGTTGAAACTTGTTTTCCAGGTGAGGTGGAAATTTTATCTTTTTTGCTTATCTCTGTGTACCGTAAACGTTTGATGTGGGTTCAACCAACTTGCAAAGGTTCAGTTACGTATGGCTGTGTGTGTGTGTGTGTGCACGTGCGTGTGTACACATGCATGCAAGGCCATGCATCGCAAGGTATTTGAAGGTATGGCCTGGTATATATGTCAGAAAATTTGTACAACGTATGCAGCTCTGTTCAAATCATGCACTGCAGATGTAAAAACTTTGCTTGCTATATGTATAATGCTATTAACTGCTCTTCACGTTTTCTAATCATCATAGGTCACTACAAGACCACCTTTTTCTTTTAAAGAGTGGCTCAGTTGCAACTATTGGAACCCTAAATATTTTTATTCTATGAAAAGGGCTAATAATGGCTGCAAGTATAGTCGCGAAGTTATCGAGTAATCTTTACACTTGTTAACACAGATGTCTACATTGATGTGTCTGTGTGCCGTTCCGGTTGATGCACAGACATGTAAATGAGTACCTTTTAACAGTATGCAAGCTAAATGCTCTGCAAATGAAGTACTTGGTTTCACACATACGTGTAACCTTACGGTGGGTTGAGGGAAATCAAACTGCACCCCCACCCCCCAATGCTTTTGTTTGTATGTTACATACATGCCACATGTGACAGCAGTGAAATTACCAGGGCTTAAATTATTTTTATTGTTGTACGTATTTATTTTGAGAAAATTACTAATTATGCTCCAAAACCCTTTGATTAAAATATTGCATGTCCGCTTCCCTTAGGGCATAAAAAATTCGCTAATAAAGGATGGTTACCAAAGACAGTTAATCCTACTGCCAAACTGCAAGTATGGATAGGGAGCAGGCATGCGGAAAACTCTCTTATCCAATTTCAAATCTTTGAATAAATGTTGCTGGAAGGCCACAGGTCGGGAAACCCTCGTGTGTAAATAAAATTTACGCATACATGGATGAGAAATTTTGCATTTCACAATTATTGCCAATTTGCATAGCTGCTTTTAGTAAGCTTCCATTTCTAATGATATTTAGTATTTTAGTAGTAATACGGCCATGTTGAATAGCACACCCGCACTCTGAAATAAAATATAGGCTACGCCACCAGCCTCACAATAACAAAAAGACACGTTAGAGAAGATGAAATGTGCTGGCTTCTGCCTCTACATTCAGCACTACTTTCAAAGTTCACACTGCATGCAAATGTTGTGTTTTACATATTACGAGGCCTTGAACACTAGTCTTACAAGAAAAACAGTGAACCATTACTGGATCACTCGACAACTCTTCGCAAACACATTAGAAATCATTCAAGGTAAAAAAGCATGGCTTATTATAAAAATTAATATGTATTTTGTCTTTCCTGGGTGTTCGGGTCTGAATTTTTATGTCCACAAAAGCATTGGCTACATGAAAGGCTGAATGCTTTTTTCTAATAAAGCTTAACCCTCCCTTCCAGAGGTGTTCAGAAATTTGCCAATAACACTTGAAGCATTTTCACTTGTGCACCAGAGTTTGACGTGTGCGTTTGTTGCTAGACATTAACAGCTATAACACTTCGAGATGCAGGTGCTGTCATAAGAGCTTTGGAGTGGACCGATGGTCTACCCACAGCCCTTAGAAACTGAACAGTCCCCCTACACTGCCATTGCCACTGTCCCGAGTTTGATGGTTACCTTCCACCACAGCACTTGCGTCGATGTCGTCAACTCACAACAAAGAGGTTGCTATGCAGCCAGCTAGGCTACTATTACAGATATGCAGATTAATCACTTTTTTTGCAAAGGAATCACACAATGAAACAAAGTATGCTCCCAAAGTGTTTCAGTGTAGTAAATATATGCTCTCAAGCAGATTTACTCCTTTCTTTTATGCAAAAATGCTTCTAAGAGCTTGTCCGTTTCCTTATGATGAGAACCACCCCACACAGCTCTTCATTTTGCAGGACTTTTCATCCTATTCTTTAGCATTAGCCTTCTTAGTGCTACCATGAACCATAAATCAGAAAAACATGTGGAACTCGCTCAGACTCGCTATAAAATATTTTGTCGTTAGGGCTCACTTTGACTCAGGTTCATCAAAGATTTCCTCAAACCAAATTGACTCGAACTCAGACTCACTAAATTTTCTCAACCCAACACAAAATCATGAGAATATTACTCATGTGGAACCGCTCAGGCTCATCGCTTGAAGGCCGGCCGTGACAGCGAAAGTCTTGTTTTTATGGGGATTTGGTAGCTTTGCGTATGTTAATGTCGAAAATCGAATCGTAAATGTTCTAACACATTGTGTAATTTATGCTAGCATTGCTAATTTTAAAATGATTATGCGTCAATTCGAAACGCCCGCCTAAATGCCATAAGAAACACCAGCGCCCCACAGCGGGGCAACACCCGAGACTACGTGCGCTCAAGCTTCAGTGATTCGAATGCGTTGTTTTCAAATTGGGGACCCGCGGCTGGTGAAGAATAAAACGATGTGGTGCTTGAGCGTGTTCTCCTAGAAAAAAAGAAATTCATTCCTGGCGTAAGAAGCCAGAGCTACCTTGAGAGCAGCCTGAATACTTGGACGAGCAAGCACCCTTACTTCAAAACCAATTAAAATATCTTATAGGCAACGCTCGTCACTAATAATAGGTCGGGCATTCTCCCGCATGCAGGACTCTCAAAGAACACAAGCATCTCGAGTTTCCAAAATGTTCTCCATATAGCATGTTTTTTATAGAAGTTGGAGGTACTTCATAACTGTTTAAAGAAAATGAGTTCCAGGGTACAGTTACAGCTTATTAGGACAGTTTACATGTTGGAAACATGTAGCATCAGCCTATCAGATACACTATTAGATAACAATGAGCAAAGAGAACATATCAATAACAATAATAATATTTGGGGGTCCATTATATGATTATGAGAGGACGCTGTAGTAGAGGGTCCCTGAAATTTTGACCACCTGGGGGGTTCCTTACCGTGAACCTACATCTAAGCACACATGCCTCAAGCATCTCACTTCCATCGAAAATGCAGCCACTGCAGCCAGCATTTGATCTTGCAGCCTGCGGAGAACATGTCGAGTGTAATGCTAATATTATATCGCATAACACCGTTTACACTGGTAAAGTGAAAGCTTGGGCAAGTGGATATGACAAAGTTATAAATGGAAAAGTGGCAGATGGGATACCAGTGGTCTTTTTCTAGTAGCCTCCAGATACTTTGCAGTCTTTAACTTTTCTAAGCATGTTTTAACTTACTTATATGTCACAGAACCTCTCAGTTCAGAGACCCATTCATAGCAAAAAAAAAAATGCTAAGGGCCAGGCTCAGTTGAACAGATTTTTACCTTGCTCGCTAATGCCACAAATCAATTGATCTCATGCGAGTCCAACACTGCACTTCTGTGAGATGGTAGTACAAGCTGGAGGAAGTGAAACATAGTGAAGAAATTAAGAAGCGTGCTGGCAACAGGGTGTCTAGCTCTGGCTATGCCAGAAGTTACAGACAGGTTTGTCAATCTTATCATCGAGATGGCGTTCTTGAACATTAATCAGTAATGCCTTGCTGTGAACGCGACGAGTGCATTTGTGTTTATGTTTTGTCTTTTTTTCTATTTGTACTCTTAGCATATCTCTGAAGTAAACAGTGCCTTGAGGATCAATGTTCACATTATGTCACTTGAATGTTTAGTATTGAATTATATATGATGTTGACACATTCCACAAACAAACAATTAAAAGCTAGCCTCGGCAATGCATCAGACGATTTCAGAAAAGTAGTTTTCACCACTTTTGTAAACATAGCCCTCAGTCTATTCCACAAACGAAATTAAAAATAGTGTCTCCAGACTTGTACGACATTTCCTCACGCAAAGGTGGATGCACAGAAGTCTGCACTAGTAAGTACGCTCTCCAAACTGACCTCATAAGCCGGACTGCCGGTATGGTGAGCTCGCTTTCAAAGGTCCTTGCCAAGTGAATGAGCGGGACTACTTAATTAGTCAAACCCCTATATAAGAGGCTCCGATGTAAGAGAAAACTTTGCCCCCTATTTGCGTGTTCACTGCAATTATTGACGAAAGACGATAGTCTTGCATGTGGAGAGAGTAAACAAAACGTTTTATTTTATGTTTTGTGCAAGAAAATCGGTAAATTGTATTCTGGAAGCGCTGGCAATAGAGAGTCTCGATCTGTGCAGCAAAGGCGAACGAGCGCATCGAGGCACGTTAGACACAAACGCTATCTGGCAGTTATCTTCGAAAACGAAGGAAGGCAAGCGCGCCCACGGAGAAAGATGCGCGCCTGTCTCGGAAGGCGATAAGGTGTAAAACGCAAAGCGGATAGGCAGGTGCCACCACCGTGTTGTCTTAGCATTGGAAAACGCTTGCCCTTTTGAGCATCCTGTTGCAATGTCAGCCCAGCATGATAAACACTACGGTCCTTAGAATTACTTATGTGTGCCTTCTCTAGTATAAAGACAACATACAAAATATTGACGTGTTGTTACGGTGCCTCAGATATGTGCAATAATTGCCTTTTAATTGACAATTGCACAAGTATGAGCGCTGAAACTTGAGTAATATTGGTGGGTGCTGCGGATGGGGTTGGCCGTTTGGGGTATCGCTTGGTGCAGCTTGGAAATCGTTACGACGGACAAACCGATAAATGTACAGACAGACAAACCGCTGCCTGCGGCAGGCAGCGTGCTGAGAGCATTCGCGCCAGCCGTCTAACTCACCCTATAATTATCTCAACGAGTGTAGCGTTAGCCCACATTAGCTCTGTTTAGTGCCACACGCACGCAAACTTGTGATGAAAGCCTTGATCGAGTCACTCGGTGTCGCAGTGACCGGATGTTAACTCGTGCGCACCACCCTTTAGTTCTTTAACGTAAAAATGTGATCGTTAGTGAGAACCCCCTGTTCGTCTTGGTCTATCGCTTAGCACGTCTCCGAATAAGCTTACACTGTAAATAACATCGCTCAAACATTCATGTGCGGCTGCTATGGCTACCTTTCTGTTAGCTGGCGGGATAGCGCCCAAAGGGACCGTGCAACTGTCTTTTCTTACTCAGCGCATGGGTGATGCAAGCTCCGCCGTATATAGGGTACACAATTCGTGCAGAGAGCATTCACAGTAACTGTCATGCAGTGAAAGCAACAAAACGGCGATATCAATTGACGGCCAATCTTAGTGTTTGCTGAGGCATCTAAGGCCTTAATAATGTGTCAGGATGCACACAGTTGATATATTAAAACAGCTGTGGTTGTTTCGTGAAGAGGTTAGACGCACCAATAATATTTCGGAAGTGTGCCTTGTGGATGTATCTCCATTCTACTATATCGCTGAAAGAATGAGCTGGAACTAGCGCGCCACCGTACGCAACTACATCGCGATAGCTCCCACTGGCAGATGTAAACCATCACACAAAATAGCAAATAACTATCACGTGAGATGACACGTAAGGGTGAGGTGCCCTAAACGATACACGCACCCAATCACTCGAAGGCATGCACGCTTTGCATAGCTGCCTCGCATCGCGAGTTCCCTGGTTGATCGGTCAAGGTAAAGAGCCACAGAGAGCAATTTGCTCTGACATATACGAGCACGCAACGAAAACCAACGGGGAGTACCAATCTTAATGTGAGTTGCGGCACTCCAGTTTTGTTTATTCAAAACAGCAACGCGAAATATCAGCAGTTTCGCAATCACAATTTCAAGCGTCTTTCCGCATACATTCAAAGTGCACAAACCAGTACCACGAACTCAAATCAGTCGGTGAATAACGAGAAGCAGCACACGTAAGCATGTATTGTTGACAAAAAAAAAAAAAAACAGCCCCCGCAGAAGCGTTAAATGAAACCCGAGTGTGAGATCTCAACGTCCTGCACAATTAACTGCAACTTGTCTACGGCATTAGAGCAGGCCTTGAATTGAGCAAACATCGAACCATACTTATAATGAGAGACGCACAACTTACTTCGCAAAGTGGATTCGAAAATGTACGCTTGAAATTCTCACTTTCGATTCTATGTAACTATGTATTTTGTCGCAACTTGTTGCCCTCAACGGGTGGTATCATAAAGAGCTTTCGGTTGTCACTAGACTAGTTCTGGCAGCAGAAGGCGCAAACACGGCCCACAACAACGGACAGTGATGTCATTCTGGGATGAAAGTATTTCACGGCACAGCGTGCACGGAAGGACAAGTTCGTATTCAATCAAAACAGATGCGCTGCAGCCCCAAAGGTCTACGCGTTCCAGAGCGATTATTCTTATTCAGATACAAAATCGGTTATTCAAGTACAAAATCAGTCATAATAGGAGCAGTTGTTCTATTGAAGCAATGATTCATTTTACCGAGGGTCTATTGTAGTTGGTGCACTTCTAGGAAGTGCGTTTGTGTTATCATGTCAAAAGAATATGTTTTTTCACAAGAGATAATGCGCTAAAAAAGTTAGCCATGCTTGGCCAGTAACTGAGACAATAGTGACACGAAGGGGTTAAGTAAACTGCTTTTATTTAAAACATATACTGTGGTGATCAACCATATTTCGTCAGTGGGTGAAAAGCTTGCTTTACTATAAAGTAAACACGCAGAAATCCTTGTGCGTATGCTTTTCATAAGAATACTCAAATGAGACAGTGCCTCTGGCATGGTATCACAGAGTTAAAGATGTTGCCACAATTGCTGGTATTGCAAAATATTCATTCTTGTGTCCTGGTATACCCCTTGCCACTGTTGCCGGAACCCAGCAGAAGATGCGAATATCACTGTAAGAATTAGCGAGATCTGAACAAACAAAGCAACAAGTACTTGACAGGGGCCAAGACTTTTATACGGAAATGTTTAAAACACGTCAGTATATCTTCCTCTCTGACAGGTCACTGTAACGACTAGCAGCAGGCATGGACATTACGACTTGGGCACCCTGTACTTCCGGATCAGGCCGTCTCGGCAGGCAGTGTAGAACGATTCCCCATCATACGCCACACTGTACACAGGTTCACAGTCTGGTCCAGTCAGACTGAAAGACTCTGCACCCACCAGAGCTTCGAAGTTGCAAGAGCCGTCGGCTGTGAAAGGAGGATAAAATCATTGACTTCCATGTCATCTCCATGTGGAATCAAAACACACACATTCTTGTTGGTTGCATGTCACTGCAAAAGTCTGAACTTGGTAACAGTTATATCTAGTAATGGCCATACAACCACTCGAATTGAATAATGCAATCTTTAGTTCTTAAATGAGATACCTAACATTCATTCAGATTTACGTGATCACAATGTATGCACACAATATTAATAATTGATATGTGTGGTTTAACATCCCAAAACCACCATATGATTATGAGAGACGCCGTAGTGGAGGGCTCCGGAAATTTTGACCACCTGGGGTTCTTTAATGTGCACCCAAATCTGAGCACACGAGCCTACAACATTTCCGCCTCCATCGGAAATGCAGCCGCCGCAGCCGGGATTTGATCCCGCGACCTGCGGGTCAGCAGCCGAGTACCTTAGCCACAAAACCACAGCAGTGGAGCCACACACAGATTAACAGCCTTGATAAATTTTAAATTTTGGTTTGCTGCAAACTATATGTTATGCTTTTACTGTGAAAGCAGGAAAGGAATTACCAGTAACAACTGACCTGAAATAACACTCCAAGGCACCAATAATATCTGTAGAGGTTATTGGCATAGTTTAAAATGAAGCCTACATCTTGCGACGAAGCCAGATTTTTTCAAAAATTCGCAAAGGTAGACATGCTATAGAGCCTATAAGTTTGTTTCTTTGCAAAGGTTGAGACTTCAACATACTGAAGTTTTTCTCAAGAAGCTTAGGTTACAATGAACGGTACACACAAATTGTAAACTTTTCCTAACTGTAAAAATAACGGCCCTCACACTTCATCAGCCTCCAACTCCTAAATAGCTTGCTGAACACTTACGATATACACCACTTAGACGAAAAAGGAAAAGGTTAGCCAACGACAAACTGAAGCATACTAACCTCTGCCAACCATAAAACCCTGCTTGTATGGCAAAAGGCACAACACTGCAGATGATGAATTTTTCCAAGTGATGGAAGGCTCCCTGTCAAAAATAATGATGAAGCACATTCAATACTGCAAATGGGAAGCTGGGCAGCAGATGTTTACATGATCACTCGGACTCAGAAACGTTTTAAAGACATGGCTACTTGGTCCTATACTATTGAAAGTATTACGAACAGCTTCAAATTTTTGAGGAGAATGAAATAATCTGTTCTTGGGTACTACGCTGTCGTTATTTGGGTCACCTGATCTCACCTTGTCTGCCTCACATCAATCACAGAAACAGTTCCATCTTGTGTCCCGAAAAGAAAGCAATTTTGTCCAAGGAAGCAGCAGCAGTTAATGGCTGCTGGATGATCAAGCTCGAACACCTGCATAAGAAAAAGAACGGGCAACGGAACGACCTTTTTACCACCAGGAATCTTTTATCGCTCAGCCTTTTCAGCAAGCTTAAACCACTTCGTGCTTTGATAAACACAAGTAAAGAGTTGTTCACTTTATGGCCTAAATTATCCAACTGTGCCCATAATCGCACTGTTATGAAAAAGTAAATATGAAATATGACACGCATTCCTTAATAGACAAAAAGAAGAGTTGCACCAATACATCTCGCTGTCCTGCATGAGGTAGTTTGTGTTAAGTGATGATTACATGGCCTCGTAACCCACTTCTAGCTCATCATGGCCAACCTAAATCATAATCCGAAGGAGCGCAGAAGGAGCAAGTTTCATGTTTTGCGCGGTTTGACTGCCTATATTTATTTGCTTCAGCATTCTCATTTGAGGTTTTCTAGTACCCCAAGGGCTCTCAGGAAATATATGCTTTATGAAATGCCTTTATAACTAGTCCTACCTCACATGTAGTGCTCTGATGTGTGGCGGAGGCCCATAACTGAACGATCTCGTATTTCGATAAATGTGGGCATGCCTAATGGTGATGCCAAACAGCACTGAAATCATAACAGTATATGACTGTCACAAACTTGTGCCTCTGGGTAACTGAAATGAAATCTTGGATGGCGTAAGCTCAGAGAGCAGTACTACCAAGTAGCCTCCGAGAAAATTTTTAGTTTTGCACAAAGGCTGTGCATGTCTCATGACAACCTTACGAATGAAGATTCTTTTTGATACCAAACAATGAAAAACTTACTCACCAGAAATGAAACAGCCCAGCAAACATTAAAAACAGCACAGATCTTTAATTAACACAGTTTAACAGCCCAGGCTGTGCCCAGAGTGAAAAAATTCTCGGCAGTCATGGTTTCGTATGTTGTTCATAACCCCCGCACACTAATTCACGCATCATCTGCTTAGACATTGTCCAAAAGTTGCTCAATTTATAAAATTACATATTTGCCAACTCTTAAATGCGTAACTTTAATAGCATAGTTATCCACTAACTAGCTGAGCTAATTTTTGACAGTAATTATGCATAAATCACATATTTGCAGGCTATTAAAGTGTTATAAAATACTAGAGTTATATATACATTTACACTCATTATCCACATCACCCTCTATGTGTATGTACTAATCACCCAATCCTAGTTGCTGTAAGGAGCACTGAGAACTAAAACTACAGTAGAACCTCATTAATTCAAACTTTATTTTTTGGTTATTTCGAAATCCCGCTTAATTCAAAGGATTTATGCAGTCCCGTATTTTGCAATGCAAGTTTGAGTGGATAATTTGAAGCTGCGGCCGGCCCCAGTCCGGTTAGTTTGAAAACGTTGGGTGCCATGTGCCAGTTCTAGATCCCGACATCGCCGCAAATACGCAAAAATGACTGCCTTTAATAGCCACAAGGCAATGCAACGTGGCGATACTAATGCCTGGTAGCTGAAGCAGTGCAGCCTAGCTATTTCAAGCGAGAAAAAAAAACGGCCTTGTGGTCAACCAAAAGTGCACCTGCGGAAAACTAGACATGCTTCAGTGCAACACAGAGGTGACCCACGGGCGGCAAATCGCATGTTTCTCGCAACGTCAGCGGTCATGGTTTACCCATTCTTTCTGGGATTGTGAAGAAATTAATAATGAACAGTTTGACGGAATTTTCTATGTATGCGAACCTCCGTTTGCCCGTTTGCTCCAGGGATTCGCGCCTTTGCACTGCTGGCGGAGTTCCTGCCAGCAGTACTTACTTCTAAAACAAACTTCGAATGTTTCGAAGATCATTTTTTCCAGCCATAACACATCGCCAGTTTCGTTTGTCATACTGGCCATTACTGAGTTCCCAGTAATACCAGAAAGAATGTGCGAATGGTCTATAATGACGTTATGACGGAGCGACAAGCAGGCGACATACTGCCCGCATATCACTTCTGTGTTGCAGTGAAGATGTCTTATTTTCCACAGGCACACATTTCATTTGCTTACGACAGTGTTTTTTTAAAGACGATAGTATTTCTTGGGGTACTTCGACGAAAAATTTTGGTCTGTCTGTCTGTTTGCCTGTACACTTGTCTTTTTGTGTGCTGTTACGATACTCCAAGCGGCACATACCTCAAGCGGCCAACCCCATCCGCAGCGCCCACCAATTATGCTCAAGTGTTAGTGTTTATACTTGTGTGACTGTCAATTTAAAAGCAATTATTGCGCATTTCTGAGGCAGCATAACAACACGTCAATATTTTGTATGTTTGTCTTTATACTAGAGAAGGCACACATAAGTAATTCTAAGGACCGTAGTGTTTATCATGCTGGGCTGACATTGCAACGGGATGCTCAAAAGGGCAAGCGTTTCCAATGCTAAGACAACACGGTGGTGGCACCTGCCTATCGCTTTGCGTTTTACACCTTATCGCCTCCGAGACAGGCGCGCATCTTTCTCCGTGGGCGCGCTTGCCTTCCTTCGTTTTCGAAGATAACTGCCAGATAGCGTTTGTGTCTAACGTGCCTCGATGCGCTTGTTCGCCTTCGCTGCAAGGACCGAGACTCTCCAAGGAAGGGCTTCCAGAATACAATTCACTGATATTCTCGACAGAACATCAAATAAACGTTTTGTTCGCTCTCTCCACATGCAAGACTATCCTCTTTCGATGACGGATCATATCAATCATGGAGATACAGGGCCAATTTTTTCTTTCTTTCTTTTCTTTTGGTGGCAGCAGCAAGGCCCACCGTTCCCCCGTGTTTGCGGCAAAATTAAGACCATGTATTGCTGGAAAACATAACCCATGGAGCCCCAAGCTTGCCGGCACAGCAAACGACAAGCCCTGATTACTTTGAATAGTTCCAAGTTCCTTGCATCCCACTTTTCGAATGTTCGGTTAATTTGAAACCTGCCTAATTCGAAAATTTCTCGGAGCCCCAGTGACTTCGAACGAGGTTTTACTGTACCTCATACAACAACTATGGCCATGAGAAAGCTGGCTCTCAATTACTGTTTATAACACACAAACTATAACAGTTTCCGCTATTAGCTTCCCTCTAGTTACTTTATCAGACCTCTGAAAATTCTTTATAACTATAGGGCAGTGGTCTCAATCATGAGGCCCACTGACCTTTCACTAACGGCCCATGTCTTGCACATGACAGTCTTCATTCCAAACCTTTTTTTATTAGTTTATCGCGGCTTATGGCGTTGCTAAATGGTGCTCGCATGGTCTTCTTGTGTATCATGATTAATATAATTAATTATGCTTTGTTCGGATAAGCTACACAGTCGTGACTGACCTTTAAGCATTCTTTTTTTTTCTTCACGAGGCACCCCGTGCTATCAAACGGTGTTGACACAGAAGCGCGGAACCGGTGTTCACATTTTAGTCATTGTGAATATCGGTATGAACATGTTTCTCGTATCTCATTCTCGACGTCAAATCTCCTCACGTAATGATACATTTACGAGATAGGCCTTCTTTTCAAATGGCAATGTTACCCGACATTTTTTTTAGACCCTACCTCCCCCCCCCTCCCGCTTCGACCTTCTTCCCTCTTTCAGCTCTTTGTGAAACTGAATATTCGGACTGTGTTTCAGTAGCTGATGTGATTTTAAAACTTCTGCTTTAGGGATTACGAATTGAGACTAAAAGTCCTCCCAGTGTTATCAATTAAACAGTCACCATTTATGCTTTTATTAATTTTATTTAACAGCTTATCATGCAACTTTACAGCATGCTAAGTCAGTACTAGTTCTAGTTACAGTGCAACAGTAATCCTGATGCCTTTCGAAAGATGTGACATAATCAATGAGACAGTGCTTTTATAGTCATTCATCTGTTTTCTATGTATTGCCATTGCTTCGTTATGTAGAATCGAAATTTAAAAAGTACTACTAGTTTAACTTATATTATTACTACATGCCCTACAATGTTGTCAAGTTTATATTACTATTGCATGCCCTAAAATGTTGTCAAGTTTATAAACAAGCCAGCTAAAGTGAACTGTTACTGCAGGTAGTCATTACATACGGAATGCACCCTATATGCAGGCCTTTATTGCAAACAAAACACAACGTTAAAAATAATTAGCGAGCTCACCGTTTTTCTGGAGTGCACGCCCACACCCCTCAGTTTTCCTGCTTCTGTCCCCACAACAAGAAGTTTCCCATCTGTCGCCACTTCCCTTTCACCTGAAATGCGAGAAATAAATCGCCCTCACTTAAAGGAGACAAAACAACGCAATAATTTTTTTCATATTAGTAAAGTACAATTTCACAATTCCAAAAAAACAAACACTTTCGCCCGAGACGACATTTGGCAAACAAGAAATTTAACAAAAAGAAAATGCGGGTGGAGATGTCACCTTGAGATTCTTGCAGCACAGCAAACACCATGACGTTATAGATTTTGAAAGAGTCTATGGGATTCTACATAGCTTCTAATAGATAAAAATGAAGTAAATTGTCACCTGCGAGTGCCACAGGCCCCTAGCATACGAAGTTTCAAGAAATTTCATCAAGCTAATGTCACAAAAATATGAAAAATACATCTCGAAACTCTTGACGTATCTCGGCCCGAAATACAAACTTGAAACTTCGATCTTGATTTTCTTCAGTAATAACAACCTTATGATAGTGAAATATAAGGCATTAGAGTTCTCAGAGTGAACTTTGTCAAATATACACCAAGTCATTGTTTCTCCGTGCATCTTTTTACTGAAGGTTCACTGGATGCCGCCATAAGCCCCTCTGGGCTGTTGCTAACATGCATGACCCCCCAAAAATGCAGGGCTGAAGCTGTGATGTCAGAACAGCCAGAAAGGAGGGGATTCTCCTCTCCATTAAAAAAGTCTATAATGTCCAATGTTTTGAGAGCAGGACAGACCCCTATGCAAGGAATTCCCGAAGTGGGCTTTTAATAAAAGAAGATTTCAAAGGTTGAGATTGTGTGTGTCGGCTCCACACCAATGCATGCACTAATATTACGAGCTATACTCATCTCTATTTAATGCTTCCACGTTGCTACTAATGGTCTCTTCATTGATCCTCTCATCGCAATAGATGGGTGAGCAAAGTGTGTATGAATGAAGGCAGCAATTGAGATAAGACTGGATCCTTCCTTCAATGATGTGATGTGACCATGTGTAAACCTTGACTGATACTAAACACGCTAACAAGGTAACTAAATTCCTTTCACTAATGATGCCAGCAACATGCTATCGCTTCTTATAAAGTCGTTTTCGCCTCATGACACACGTGCATCCGACAGATTGGTCTTACCGTGGTTAGGTTCGCCGCCGAGCAAAAGATGGCACAGCGGTTGCACAGTGAAGTGCGATGAGCATAGAAAGGCACTCTACTACCTTTTCTTTTACTTTTGTTTTTTTTTTTACTCTCTCTCCATTTTTGTGGTTACTTCTTTATATATATATATATATATATATATATATATATATTTCGATATCTTTGGACTAGAGTCAACTGAAATTAGTTCGTTACAACAGGTATGGCTACCACATCATCATCATCATCAGATTATAGCGCCACCTGGCAAGAGGCGACGTTACGCTAGCGCTTGAGGAAGAGTGCTTTCTCTTTCAGTCTCTTTCCTGAGAAGCACGTGAGAACAATTCCGTGACTTGTTTCCCACAGACGTCGGCGACATGGCATTCGTGTTGTCTAATGTGTGTCGTGATCTCTGTGTGTTGTATTGGTGTTGTATCAGACTATTGGTCTTATTACCAGTTATTATAAAATTTGGCTAGTGAGCTTGCGGTTGTAAAAGCATTTCATAAGTGCCATGTGTTCGCGTTCGCTCGACGGCATGAACTGGGCCCGTGTGTTCCACGACTGTGGCTTGCTAGAAAACAGGGCTGATTCGAAAGTGTTTACTTTGTGCGTCAAGGTTAATTCTCTCCTGGCAAAACGACTCAAGAATCAAGCTGTCAAGCCCAAAATACATTCATCATGCTAGTGGGTGTGTGTGATGTTTACAAACCATTTAATCACCACGTAATCAAACACTCTATACACTGCTCCCATTTGCAATAGGAAGGGGATAACAAGCTGCTACCATTTACTGGAAGGGGCCCTGCAACACTTTTTGAGCATGGTCAGAAAACGCTGCCGATCGGTAGTAGTGGCTCCCGACAACACGCAAGCGAAATATTAGAGTGCAGCACGCAGCCTAGAATTAACAACAAATTATCACTGAAAATTGCTTTCTCTTCTCTCGACAAATCGCAGAATATGCCCAAAATTGCACGTAGCAAGCCCATCTATCAGCCATTGGCTGATTTGAACATGGCGCGCTCGCTCATTACAGAGATCACCGCAAAACGCCGCTACTTGTACACGCGCACGCGCGCGATCACACTGAAAAAGCCGCGAATTCGTAGAAAAACTTTTTTTAAATGCTCAAGGTAACGAGGGGCACATGACGTTTTCCTGCAGCCCTGGCATCCCTCTCTGCTTAGCTTCCAGCGCCTTTGTCGGGACGAGAGAAGAGAGAATGCAAGTGCAGCATGCGACAGACCTTTGTAACTCCACTCACACTAGATAGATTCTTAAAATTTTTGCCGTGTTGAATTTGTGAGGCAATGAGCTTTTCCAGTGAATTCATTCCATGGTTACTTGAAGAAGTGTTTCAGGACCCCCTGAAGTCCAGCACACTTTCCAAACCCTGAATGACGTGGCACTTAACAGAATTACCCAGACTACATGGCGTAAACAACTTTTTCTACGCTCCCACTGAATTCGTTCAGCACAGATGAACACTTTTAGTAGAGGAAGTCATGGGTGATATTTCCCTTTTAAGCCGTTGAGACGCTATGTATGCAATTGTGTACACCACTTGTTTTACTATTGGTATCAACTAGAGGCAAAGAACCAAGGAATATACATCGAGCTTTTATTAAATTTAACCTCCTGCATAATAACTTTGGTCTTAACTTAGTGCCTGCATAATAAATTTGTCTTATATTAACTTCATTCCACGGCGCACTGTTTCATATGATCATTTTGCTGAAGGCACTACAACGTTCGAAGAATCATTCAACATGCTGCTTTGCGCGAGCCCTATGTGAAAAGTAAAATTTTTTCTTTGCTCAAATTGACGTAATTAAGAATGACTTTGGACTATATTTATAGCTTAAGAATTCATTCTATTTATGTAAAAACAGAGCATTAGTGGCTTCAGAATAGATAGATTAATTACAACTTAATCAGGATTAGTTACCGTAATATAGACAATTTAACATATTGTGACTATCTTTGTGGCAATACAATACTTAGTGCTTTGAAATAATGTTGCATCGACTTGACACATCTACAGACAGTTCTTCGCAGGGCTGTCTGAAAGGGTTAAGTCAACAGAGAAAGAGGGATTTCTCGAGGCAGACAGGCTGGGTAGTCGGTCTGAATCAATATCTGGCCTGCTATTCAGTCAGCTTTGCACGCGAGGAGTTGCACTATGTCTCTATCATGGCTGTTTATTCATTTGGAGCATAATGTAGCAAGTTTTCCACATAAAGTAATATTAGTAAGCCAGCTAGTCTCTGCCAGACAACACTATTTATATTTCACAAAAAAAAACTGTTGAAAAATGTCAAATGTGGTGTCACAACCCCATATTTCAGAACATTTTGCTAACTAGAATTTACTAAGTGAAACCAACTTCTTTTTTACAGTCCCCGTAATTTCTGGGCCTAATATAAAAAAAAAAAGCCAACATGCCACCATCTTTGACAAAGAAGACAATGCCCTCCACATAGAGTCTTATAAGGTTGAACACTTCCAAGCAATCGGCACAGCTACGTCAAATCGCATGCACAAATTATCATTTGTTCACTGAAAGCTGTAAGGTGTATAACAATTAGTTTTCAAGGCTATAGCTTGCTCAGTTAAGAACATTGCAGATTTGTACAAGATGCCAAACAAGTCTTTGATTGAAACCCCACAAATTTCAGTTTATGGTAGTAAACGATGTAACGGCAACCCTAGGTAGTACCACTGCAAATACATTCTTTTATGTGCAAGTGAAATGTTTTTGCACAGATTAAAAATAAATAAAGATGGAAATCCAAACGGTGAGAAGTGAAAGATCGTAACGAGCACTAACACAAAGAACTGAAAGTTACAGGTTCAGTCATTGCTGGCAGCAAGTTATCGTTTCCAATTAAGTTTTTCCTCATTTGTATGAATACTACAATACAGTTAAAAGACCACAATTAACATCCCTTACACCTTCTTTGGCTTCTCTGCCTGTTGGTTTTCATTAAATTTGTGTCTAACACAAACAAGAAACACGCTGACTGAGTTGATTATCCTGTTCATGCTGAGATGATCACTTTAACATCCATCTGCATCTTTCTTTTTTGTGCCAGCGTTCCTTTGCACTTCTTAAGATGTATGTCCAAGGTCTAAAATGTAAGGGTGGGTTGGACGATTGATCATTGATAAAAAAAAGCTGACGTTTCAACCAATATCATCCACTTTCCAAAACACTAGCTACAACCGCCAATAGCGTAGCTAGAAATTGTTTTTCAAGAGTGGTGCTTCAAACCATACTTCATTTATGTTCATGCTTTTTGTATGTTTGCGTTGCATATACACGCATGCAAAACTGAAAAATTTTGAAGGAGAGGAGTGCAATCTTCTGCCACATCCTCTCAAAACGACACCTATTCTCAAATTCAGCGGGTAGCGCCAAAGCCTGCCCCAAAAGCTTTGCGTCAAACTAACAGGACGGCATCCACTGAAACTATGGCTACAGGTCAAAACTAGAGAGACCTAGAATAGTTGCAATGTCCAAAGCGCCACAGACCCTATTAGAAAACTATGAGCTCTTGCCCAACCCAAAGCGAGCACACACAAAGGGCTTAAGGGCCCCAACGTATGCGAAAACTTTCTAATGTCTATAGTCATTATCAACATTTAGTCAAAATTTTTGTCGAACATGAAAAGTTAACAGGACAGTATGAGACAGGAAGCTTACTGGCTTGCTCGTCCCTGATGCCCAAGTTGATGGCCACAGGTCCGAGGGCGCAGCAGTTAATGCAGTCGTGCAGGGTGTCGGTCAGGGTGCCCAAGCAGGCAGACTTGCCACAGTCCCAGAGTCTGGCAGTGCCGTCCTTGCTGACTGAGATGACGTTACGGCCTTGTGTCCACAATGCAGGTGTCGTTAATGGCTGCAGTAGTTTTGACATGCGTTGAAGGCCTTACAAGCAGGCCTTCTGGTAACTATGTAGTAACTAGGTAGTTACCAGAACACTTGTTATCACATGGTTACTTTCTCGGTGCTGCAATTTTATACGCGTTCCATATCCGGACGGAGGCGTTCCTTTCGTTATGTCAAAAGTGAGTGGTCTGCATCGGTTGCGAGGACGATGGAAAGCGAACAGCCAATGTGGGAAATGGAAGCCTGCGTCACAAATTTGACGTCCATTTGAGTGCAAATTGAGCGCAATTGAAACGAGACACGTCCAGTGTCTCTGTGGATGCAACCCATGTGAAAAGAGATGCGTCGAGCGTCTCTTTGGAACGCATGTTGTGTCTTCGACCAGTGCCTCCTCTTGCTCCGACTTGCAAAGGACGCGCCCAGTGTCCGTGACGGATGCACTCAGTGTCTCTGCAAGAGACGCAGCATGATCGAACACGACGGAGTGAATGATGATGAATGGGGCGAAGCTTGGGTTTCTACGGTAAACCGTGAATCCTCCATCCGTCCGCCTGTCTCTCCAACTGTTCGTGCGTATGTCTGTCTATCTGTGTCTGTCTGTCCATCCATCTGTCTACGACAACAGACACTGAGAGACAGATGGAGTGGTTGCATCAATGGAGGGGTGTTGAGCCATAGTAAGTGCATGAGGCCCGCTGTGACGCCATGCTCTCAAAGTACCCAGATACCGAAAGGCGTGAAGCGCTTGAATTTAAATCCAATCCATGCCGCCTTGCAGCCATTTCAATCCATCTGTTTTTTTTTTTTTTTTTTCGGAAGGCCTCTCCGACCGTTCCTTCCCCTCCATCCGAGAAACGGATGAAAACAGACACGCGACATTTTGGCTCACGTGACATAGAATGTCACGGCATTCGTCACGGCTCAAATGGGCCATTCGCGTGCGACTCGATAGAGTGGTACGCCTGAGTCTGAATTTGGTTCACGTGACATAGAAAATCCCGGCATTCGTCACGGCTCAAATGGGCCAATCACGTTCAACTCGATGGAGCGGAAGCCTCCGTCCGAATTTGGCTCATGTGATATAGAACATCACGGCATTCCCACAGCTCAAATGTGCCAATCACGAGCGACTCGATGAAACGAAACGCCTCCGCCCAGATTTGGAATGCGTGTAAAATTCACCACAGATTATGTCCACCTAAATGATCACGAACTGCTGCTTAAATGGACCAAATGCTTTTGACAGATTGTTTCATTCTTCCACTGCGAGCCCTGTTCATCTCTCGGTAAACGGAACTCCTGTTAAACGGAACGCATTTACTGGTCCCTTCAGGTTCTGTTTATTAAGAGTCTACTGCAATCACTTACACGGAAAAGCAATGTTAGTTCATTACAGTTACTTAAACTCGTACGGTTTTGTCTGAGAAACAGTGTTTAAAAAAAAGTGTTTAAAGAAAACAAGCAGAGGCAAAGAATACTTAGTTTACAGTTGTAGGTTCTCTATAAATGATAGCCGCTCTCGGAGTAAACAGACACAGCAGACGCCATCGGACCAAACGAAATACACATTTATTTAACTGCTTTTAGAATGATGATACCGTCAGCCGAATCAAAATACATCAGTTGTGATCAACACGTTAAAGCAACCTTACACGATATTCCACAACACTCAACAACATAACAAACACAAGGCGGCATCACCAACGCTCAGCTCACCACAAGGTCTCAGGCAGACGGATTCACCACTGAAAACTACTGTTCACACCAGCCGCCCCGCGTCGAAGGGGACCGCTGATATCTCATGTGCCGCCAGTTAGCCTCGCTGTCAGGCATCTCTGCTGGCGCTAGCGCACTAACTATGATGATGGTGGCGATAAAAGCTTGCGAGCACGACGCCACAAGTGAGCCCATAGAGTATAACTGACCCTGAGGTGTCCCATTAATGACCCTGTTGTAACGCAACACACATCCCCCTCTCTACAATGAAACTGTAGTACCTTGGGTACCCAAAATGCAAGCACGAGGATGGCCGAATTTAAATAAGACATACAACAGTTCTTATACTGTACAAAAGCTATGTTTGCGCCTGACTTACTACAAGTGCCACTCAGGTAAGTGCCTATTTTGTTATTCAAACTTTAATGAAGGGTGCCGTGGAACAATAGCAGCTTTCACTTATAATTATGCTGTGGTCGGTGTAATGCTCTGTCATTAAAAAACAAGGTCACACACGAATACTGAGCCAAAAAAGCGTATAACCCCCACCTCCAGTTGAAGAAAAAAAAAGGAATATTTTGTTTAGGATATGCTCCTAAACTTCATGCAAAATTACCAGCAGAGTGGCCTTTCAATGTGACTGGGCATTTTCCAGTTTCAGCAGACCAAATTTTGAGCTGCATGTCGGCTCCACCAGATAGAACAACCACGCCAGAAGGGAAGAAACGGCAGGTGTACACATCCCAGACATGTCCCTCAAGGTCCCTCGGATTAGGATGAAAAAAGGAAGTGAAAGTCACAAACACTTCTCAAGCTACATCGTATGGCCAAAACAGCCTACAGGGCTTGTATGATGTAGCAGAAAAGCAAGCACAAAAAAAAATGGCCCCGTGTCTGCATGTAATCTGCAAATGTCATCGAAAGACGATAGTCTTGCATGTAGAGAGAGTGAACAAAACATTTATTTGATGTTCTGCACAAAAAAAAACCGTGAATGGTATTCCAGAGGCGCTGCGCTAGAGTGCCTCGAGCGTGTAGCGGAGGCGAATAAGCGCATCAAGTCACGTCACACGTGAGACATGAGTGCCATCTGACATTTTTTTGGAAAACAAAGCGCGTGGCCCTGAGGCGGGCGTGCGCGCCCGTCTCAGAGGTGATAAGGTTAGAACGCGAGGCGACGGGAAGGGGCCACCCCGTGTCTTCTTAGCAAAGCGTTGGAAACACTCGCCTTTCCGTGCAAGCGTTGCAGGGTCAGTGCAGCGTGATAAGCGCTACGGTCCTTAGAATTACTTATGTGCCTTTTCTAGTAAAAGATGAACATGCAGAATATATACGTGTTGTTATGGTGCCTCACATAAGCGCAATAATTGCTTTTTAATTGACAATCACACACGTATGAACGCTCATTCTTGAGCAACATTGGTGGGCGCTGCGGATGGGGTTGGCCGTTCGAGGTATCCGCTGCTGTTGTTTCGAGTATCCGGTTTGCGGTAACGGTGGACAAACAAATGTACAGACAGACAGACCAAAGTTTTTGAGTTGAAGGTCCCCAAGAAAGACTATTGTCTTTAAAATAGATGATTCAC